GCCACACAAGATGGGCTGCACCCCCCCCCCAGTACAAACTTTACTCCCAGCATTGATCATCTGCCCCTCTTATGGATGGGCACAGTCAGGTGGCCAGCAGCAAGGAAGAAAAACACTCATTCAGTAGAAGTAGAAGATGATGATGAAGAAATAATAGAAGCATGAGAAGAAGATGGAAATGATGATGCTTGTGAGTGAGTGAGTGAGTTAGTGTACTCTTTCTCTGTGTGTGTGTGTGTGTCTCTGTGTGAGTGTTTCTGGAGTTGTATGCATTAGCCTGTGGAGGTGCATACAGTACTTGGCCTCATGGTGTGATATTTATGCATTGAAAAGGAATAACATAACATTAAATCAATTAAAATAATGTTAAAACTCTCTCAAGAATTACACATGGCTGATGTGGGGGCAGTGTCCTTTTGCAGCAGCAGCAGCTGGGCAGGCTAAAAAACTTCCATCCCTTTCCTTCAAATGGCTTGCCCTCACAGGTGGGGGCATGGCAAGATATGTACTTATATATACCCAGCTCAGCCCAGCCCTGCCTTGTATGGTTCTGTTCAGCATGCAAAATAACATTCCCCAGCTTTGTGGGCAGTGGTTGGGGGGATTATTAGGTATACTTGTTTTTAGGATTGTTGGAATAATTTTCTGTACTTCTTCTAACTAACTGCCTCCCTGCCCTCCCCCCACACCCCTTCATCATCCCATCCTACACAACCCCTTCCGGGCTTTTATAGTTATTTGTGACTTTGAAGCCTACATGTAGGAAGTGACTGGCTGTTTGGATTGTAAAGGACACATGCGTAACCTTGGATTTACATATATTTAATACTTCCTAGTAAATATAGTTGGCAGTGACATGATTTGGGGATAATCTCTTTAGAGTCACAGAGCTTCTCTATTAATGTTTGGAATGACTCTATCTGGGTATTTGGAAAGCATCTGTATTCAGGAATGCAAACTACACATGTGTATATATTATTATTAATCTCTGTCTTTGTATAGTATGGAATTATTCAAAATATATTATTATTCACACATGATAAGAAAATATTAAAAAAATATACATGATTTCAATTTTGAATATTGGGTTATATATATACATAGAAAGATAAAAATAGTTTATGTTGAATATTCAAGATTACTTACTTATTGTTACCTTGGAAAATAGTGTACAAATGACGTTTCAAAAACAGCACAAGATTTAAAATTTTAATGTAGAATCATTCATGATTTTAAGCATTCAAAGCACTTGCATGTGTGTGTGAATATATATATATATATATATATATGAACATAAGTAAAAAATCATACTTTTATCCATCATAAAAAATAATACATATCTTTCATAAAGTTAATGAAAAATATTACATGTTGTACAACTTTATGTTTAAAACATAAGCAATTCCAAAATACTGAGATTCAGAAGTTAATAAGATATTCCGAGTGCAAAATAATTTTTAGTTTTCTTAGTTATATTTTAATGCATAAAATGTTGAGTTCAAAGAAGTGGATCATATTCCTTTCAATATATATTGTAACAATTTTTTTTATCTATATTTATTTACGAATTATATATCTATAAATATAAATATAAATACATAAAGTTGGAAATCTATCAAAATACTTAATACTAATATTCACTTTACAATAGCCACAATGTTTTGGGATTAATGACAATATTAAGTTCAAATTAAATAATTAATTTTTCAATTTAAGAATCTCACTATCAAAGATGGAACACTTCAAGTATTAACACTGTTTTCACATTAATAAGAACATGTATAAATTAGTATTGAATATATGCAATACATTAAAATCACAGAATAAATTAGTTATTAAATCTATTTATATTAGTGAGAAAGTAATGATGTATGTATGCATGTAGGTAATAAAATAATATTTGAATACAAAAAGCGACTTGCTTCTATTCTACTTTTATTTTTCTATGTAAGGAGATTTTTTTTTATTTTTAGGACATGGTTTATTCTATCAAAAATACTACTATTTTATTTCTATGTAAGGTATCTTATTTTTAGAAACAATGGTTTTTGGATTGAACTCTTGATAACTGATACTTTGAAGTAGTAAAAACTGAATTTATTAACTTCTTTGGATAAAATTTAATTTTTAATCAAATTTTAAGATTTGATAATTTTAGAAAAAATTAATTCAATATGATTAAGGTAATTATCTATTTTCATTCTACTATAATAAATTCTATTAGATTTCAAAGGTTTTTGTTCAGCTAAATAATTTTGGAAATTATAAATAATTTACATAATTATTTTTACATATAAAAATAAATTTTAGTATCAATATTTTTTATGAAAATTTCAATACTGGAAGTTGCAACTATATGTATATATATATATATTTCTAATTCATGTGATAATACATTTAATATTTAAAAAATAAAGAATATTTGTTTTAACATGTCCAGTAATTTTTAGGATTTTTCTTAAAGCTTCTTCATTTCCTTCACAAACACTCAATTTTTTTTTAATATTTATTTATTAGCAAAATATTGAAAAAAATTAAAAATGAAGGCAATACTGATCTTGATAACACCTTCATTAACTTCAAAACTTATAATTTGCAGGATTTCTTGTATCTTAGGATATAAATATTTCAAATTTAAATATATGAATAAATAAACTTACTTTTAATATCTTTCCAGTTCTTCAAAGACTTTTTTAGTTTTTTAGAACCCACTTGAGATGTGATAAGAACTTTTAGAAGCTTCTGCTTAAAGTTTGAATGTCACAACTTTTGTACACTTGACAACATAAGAAACCTACTTTAGGAAGGTTGCTCTAGAAGCTTAATCCACAAGGATTTGTATATTAATTTTAAATGTGCTCTTTTATTTCTTCTCTTCTCTTTTCTTAATCCACTTTCATTTGAGTGATTTCATTGTTTTGCTTCCAAGCCTGTTGAAATTCTGGCATAGCTAGACCAGTATTTTATCAAAATTCAATACATTCAAACAGTTTATTAAAAATTTAAAAATCACATTACTTTATTTTTAAATGTTTAAAGCCCACCTGAATTGAATGATGTTTTTTCTAATTAAATATTTGTTGAAACAAAACTAATGTTCTCAAAAGGTAATATTGATCGTAGATTTATTCTAGTTTCTTCCTGAAGCTTGCCATCGAAGCTATACTGTTGATTGAGGATTAAGAGCTTCAAAAGTGATATTTTTTTTTTGAAACTAAGTATGATTCTTATTGTAGGATGAATTAACAAGTCATGTCGTAATTAAATTAAAATAACTGTAATGTGAACAAGACATCAAGTAATATCCATCCACAGAATTTCAACTTAATGGAACTGACATCTTTGATTCAAGAGACGTGGGAAAGGAAAACTTGGTTTTGTTCTTTCCAATATTATATTTTATTTCCTTAACATAATTTTATATTTGTATGTACCGGATTAATCTTATCTTTATTTATCGGCATTAAATAAATAAATATTTTTTTATTATCTGAAAAATTGTTGCAAGATTTTAAAAAGCAATCATTGAATCATGGTTTCTTATTTAGTCAAGAAATAATAAATAATAAACTGAAGTTTTAATTAATTTTTAAATAAAATAGAATGAAAAGTTAACCAAAATATTTTCATACCAAAATAATTTAAATTTATATTTGTACTTCTTTCAAAACTAGATGCCAATATCCATTAAAATAAAATAAAAAGATATGAAAATACATACGTACGTACATACATACATGCATATGAAAGGTGTTTTACATCAAGGTAAACAATTCGATTCATAAATTGTTCCATACATAATGATGATTTCTTGTGTCAGAAAATTGTAGAAGACTTCTTTTATTAACTATCTATCAAATAATTCTTTACAATATATTCCAGCAACAAAGCATACAGAATTCAACTATCACTTATTTCCTTAAAGAGAGAATTTGATAAATTAAAGGGTACTGTAATTGTATTGAATTCCTGCACTGCAAGCTCAAAATTCAACACCTGAAGAGTTGTAAAAAAGCATGTATGTATATATATTTCAATGATATATACTTCTTGGCATATAAATATGCATATATATATATATATATATATATGACAATCTGCATGTTATTGCATGATATAGAATTAACACTTGATGGTACTATTAGCAACAACAGCAAGTTAACAAAAAAAGACAAAAAGAAGAAGAAGAAGAAAAAAGAAAGAGAAAAATGCACCTATTTGAACACCACATGATTGTATTCAACATGACACATTGTTTGCACATCACAATCACCATACACCAATATGACAAACAAACCATGAAACAAGGCAACACAATCAACCCTAATTGATCAATTCATAAACCCACATCCCTAACAGTAATATCAAGCATAATAATGTCTAGCATCAAACCCCATCTCACACAAACATTTTCTCATTGAGTTTAACTCATTGAAGGTCGAAATTAATTGCATAGATAACAAGAAGAGATAAAAACAGTAGCAAAAGGTTCTAGTCATATTTACTAACCACAACTGGGTATAGTACAGAAGCTGAGATTTGAAAACAGGGTTTGATGAGTTTGATCTTGTACATGCACAAGATTTGCTAAGTTCAATTTCATGACAAGCAATGGAATTGATTGTTTGGTGTGAGTGTGGGTGTGGGTGTGTGAGTGTGTAGAAACTAAGGGGAGACATGGAGAGAGGAGGGCAAGGGAGGGAAGGAAGGGAGGGCATTGAAGGAGGTTGAAGAGCCGTGAGGAGTCAACACAGAGAGGGTACAGTACCAGGGTGTGCACTCACAGGCAGCCCAGGGCTCTAATTATTATTATACTCCCCACATCTCCCTCATGAACCCAGTTTCTTCATTACGCGCGTTGGGGAGAGCGCCTTGACTATGGCACTCCACCTTTATAACCATTGCAAATGGCCACTGCAGCACCAGCCAGCGGCAGCAGCAGCAGCAGCTGGCTTCTCCTCCTCTTCCCAGCAGCAGCAACCAACACAGCCTAGTCTGCACCAGGTATCTGAGCTATGCTATGCGGCTGTTTGGACCCCATGAGCATACTTGTGATAGCCATGACGTGTTGCTTCAGCAGCAGGTGATAGTATCTCTCTATGCAGCTTGCGTTATCGGTGTTGCGTTTCTTGTCCACTGTTTGTGGGGTGGTCTTCTCTACAATACTGGCTGACATATGTCTGCTGTAGGTGGTGGTGAGTACAAGTGGGGCAGAGAAAGAGAGAGAGAGAGAGAGAGAGAGAGAGTAAGAAAGTTAAAATGGATTCCGTTTTTTCTTTCATGTTTCCATCTTTTTCCTTTTTGTGTCATGTGGAGTGACCTTGCTATGCAGCTGGGTTGGAATTCCTGCATGCATGGGAGTTGGGAGTCGTTTGAGATTACCTTGCAGAGTTGAACTTGTTGCCAGTACGATCATTGAGATATTGTCTTGGTTCCTTGGTCGTCAGCTGGACGGCTGGTGCCGAGGGAGTACATGGGTACAATCCCAGGAGACTCTGAAAGACGTCCTGTACTGCCTGGGGATCCTGACCACCTCTGCTGCTGCTGCTGCTAGTGCTTCTTCTTCTTCTTCTTCTTCTGCTGCTTCGCATAACGCCTTACAATCGACGTAGTTTGAGAGCCTCCAGGTTCTTAAAGATTGTCCTGTCTCTCTCCCTGCAGGCCCATGTGTGTGCCGTTTCGTGCCATTCATGGAAGTCTTATGGCCACTGTCGTTAGTCCCTCCGGCTGGAAATATTATCGTCGCGAGCTGCTTTCTTCTTGGGCAGCAGCGAGCAGCCGTGTATCGCTTAAGTTAAAGCTTCTTGCTGCCGACTGGTCAAGTTCTGCCGGCTCCGATTCTTCTGCTTGCTTTCTTTCCTGCTTTGCGGGGTTCTAAGTCCAAATTAGCGCGTGGTTGGATCTTCGCGCAATAAGTACCTTTTGGGACGAGATGAAATAGTGGTCATCGGTTCAAAACATCCATCTGAGTATGTGGGATGAAATGTAACTCAATTCTGCCACACAAGACTTGGGCGTTGAAAAAAAGAAAAAAGAAAAAACTCTTAGATTAGTCGGCCAGATACCTAGTTTGTTTCTCTACATGGAAGTTCTGGTGGAGGAGAAGCGCAGTTTGTCCAGAATGTCCCTTCTTTCTCTCACGTAGAGTTGAGGCCGCATTGAAAGATATGGGTACTCAGCCAGCTTTAGAGGGTGTGAAGCAGGAGCCAGCAGCTGGAAATGAAGGCATGGCCATGTCCTTAGATCACAGCTCAACCACCGTAAGTGATGGCGGCAGCCCACAGCAGTTGAATGGAACCAAAACCAACAGTGTCTACGTGAGTCAGCTGAAAGCATGCATTCTGCAGAAAAGGTACAAGGCTGAACCCACGGATACCGCAAGCACGGAGCTGGAAGATGCAGAGAGCCCCTCGGGCGCTCAATGGAGCCATGATCATGGCACCACCGTCCTTAACCCGGTACAGACGCCTTCCGTAACTAAACAGCCAAACCCTGCGCCATTCTTTAACTGGCCTCCTTCGAATAGAGTACCAAGCTTGGAAGTTGAAGCTACTAAGAATGTACGCACTCCATGCCGACAGTTTTGGAAAGCTGGGGACTACGAAGGAGTGCCTACCATCACCACACATCAATCAGGTTTGTGCTCTTTTACACCTGCCACTTGAAGTCCCGGCTATGAATACCAAGATGAGATCTCCTCGCCCTATTTTCCACTTTCAGAGCGTACTTCGTAAGAACTCTGGAATGACAGGGTTTTAGCCACGTCTCTTAACAATGTCAGGTTATAGCAAAGAATGCAGGGCATTTAGATGGACGTCTTTGACATGTGCAGGTGGAATAGATCACGTGCGCGTTCACCCAAAGTTTCTCCACTCCAACGCAACAAGTCACAAATGGGCTCTTGGAGGTATTGGATACGATCTCCTCAAAATCCTAGTTCCTAAGATTTTCGAGTCTATATTCTACTTGATGACCTGTGTCTTATCTTATAGTAGGGGATGGGATAAACAGAAGTAAGCTTCTGGCACGTGAAGTCAACAGCAAACTAATATTATGATGAGGAGTTTATATGCACAACACTGTATAGGGTTTTTGAGGTCTGTGCAATATTCTGGGTCAAAGACAACAGGGAGCACTATACGACAAGTAGAATTTCAAGCTATTGCTTTAAGACTGTTTTGATGGACGATAAGGTGAATTGGCCTTGCTCACCTCTACTATGGATAGAACAGACTTGCCTGCATATTTTGCACCTTGAGCTGAGTTCGTTGAAAGGTCTGTAAAACAACATGGGTATTATAGTTGTTAAACTAACTTTTGAGGATGTCAGCTTTAACACTGTTTTCGTGGGCGCAGCAATTGCCGAAATCCTAGACAACTCAATGGACGAGGTAGCATGCGACACCTTCGTTTCCGTGTACTTGCTTTAGCTATTAAGACATAGGAGTATGCGACGATTCTCAGGGTTCACCGAATTAGCTGCAACAAAAATTCATTTGGTCATGATTTTTAGCAATTGAGTATGCTAGATTAATAATTTGAATTCCTTCAGTCACAGCTTCAATTTCCAGCTCTGTTCAGTTAATGTATTATTGACTGTGTTGGTTCACATAGGTGAAAAACGGTGCGACGTTTGTGAATGTGGACATGATAAGGAACCCACGTGACGGATCGCCGATGCTTTACATTGAAGGTTGTACAACAAGATAGTAGATAAATGAATTTTTCAGTGCGTTCAAATCTCATGTTATTCGAATCCCTTCAAAATGGCAATCTCTTTTGGTCCTTCTTCGCATTACCGGAAAGCCAGATTTTTAAAAACAGGTGAAGTTAACCCCTGTGTGTACATGGTCAACAGACAATGGTGGTGGTATGACTCCCGAACGCATGAGGGAATGTATGTCATTGGGCTTCTCTACGAAGAGCAAAAGCGGGAATACGATTGGCCAGTGTAAGTCTTCAAGCCATCCGTGCGCAAGTGGCAAAATGTATCAAGCAGATGCAATGCAAAGATTTTGTAAGGTGGAAGGTTCAGAAGAGATTTCTCTCGAAGCCATTTCACTTTTCAGAGTTCTCACGGTCAATGTGGTCCTTTTTGGAGTTAAAGGAATTGACACTCCAAATTTTGATCAGGATAGGAATTATTAACAAGATTATAACTAATCGAGTGCATCAGTGTATGATTAACTACAGACGGGAATGGGTTCAAGACGAGCACTATGCGACTGGGGGCGGACGTGATTGTGTTCTCCCGCTCACCGGCTGATGCCGGACGGAGGCATGTCTATCTAAACGGCGTTTAATTTCTAAAATTCAATTTGACAGGATTCGAAATGATTCTTATATTTGAGGGTGTTGAAACATTGTCTCAAGAAGTCTGAGATGCAGTTCTATTTCTAATTTCCATCATCAATCATCATTTGCTCATGCTCATGTGACTAAGTAATATAACGACACGTATAGTGGTTCTATGCAGGGCAACACAGAGCATTGGTGTACTTTCCTTCACCTTCTTACGAAGTACGGGACACGACGATATTGTAGTGCCCATGGTGAGAACTGCCTCTCATTAAATCAGTTCCAATGATCTGGTCGGTTTACCGAGGCTAACTGGTGAGGACTCGTTGCTTCTTGGACGGTCACGTTTCCTTCACGACTGCCCTTCATGAGTCCATTGTTGCCTCAATCATGTTCCTGACACTAAAGTGCTCAATTGAAAACAAGTGTATTGAACCAAAAAAAAAAACTTTCCTCAACCTTCTACAGCGAAGGAAAACAAATGTACTAGAAGTACTACTTTGCATTGTCAAAGGATGTTCTTTTACGACGTCGATGAAACACTTCAAAGAGAAATCTTTTGTAAGGAATTGGACCAGGTTTGACAAGTAGTACTTGTGAATTGAGAATTACATATTAGAATTTTTTCCGGTCGTTCTTAAGAAGATGTATTTGATGTTTGCAGGTAGATTACGAGCTTAAGGATGGAATGATCTGTCCTCTGATCAGGAGTACGGCCAAAGATTGGGCCCATAATCTGCGGACAATCCAACAGTGGTCTCCTTATTGCACTGAACATGATCTTTTCACCCAGGTCATGGTTGAAGCTTGCTTATTACTTAAAAAAATTCTTTAACTCTCACTCCGTATCTCGAAGAGTTAATGTATCTCTTGTCAATTGTCCATGATTAGAAATTATCTGAAACTCGGGGTTCTTTGCACAACAGTTTTTCGGAATGACTGAGAAAGGAACTAAAGTAATTATTTACAACCTTTGGGAGGATGAACACGGCCGAGTCGAACTTGACTTCGAATCTGACCGCCACGTGAGTTTTAACGCCCAGGAAACATTCATTTGCAATGATTTTTGTCGCAATGTCCACACAACTTCACCATTTGCAATAATAATTATTGAACATGGGAACATTGGTTTGAATATCCAGGACATTCAAGTTAGAAGTGAGGACTTGGACGAGAGAAAAATTGCCATGGCGCAGCGTTACACTTACTCAAGACACTATCTTACCTACCAGCACTCATTGCGGGTACAGTACTCCATCCTATGGCCATTGTGCGGGCTGTGTCGGTGGTATTAAAGTGCAGACAATATTTCCTTATGGTGAAATGGGGTGTGCAGAGTTATGCATCTATCTTGTATTATCGACATCCTCCGGGGTTCCGAATCATCCTGAGGGGTCAAGATGTTCCACATCACAATCTGGCTGATGACTTGATGTACACTCAAGAGCTCAGTTACAAGCCTCAAGGGTTTGAAAGTTCTAGGGACGTTAAGGTAAACTACTTGCACTGGAATTAATTGCTGCCAATCATATTTTCCTTGAATTTTTTGTATTCTACTGCAATATGGTTAATGTACACCGAGAATGACCAAACTTACTGCAGATGGTTGCAACGGTGGTTATGGGATTCATTAAAGATGCAAAGGAGCATGTAGATGTCCAGGGCTTCAGCGTCTATCACAAGAACCGCCTTATCAAGGTGCATCGCTAAATCCCACTTGATGAAACTAGGGATTCTTCTATCAGCCAGGCATGGACTGCTCTGCAATGCTTGAAGACTGGCTTGCAGTTTTATTGGTTCCTCTTCTGCTTGCAAGGATGTACTAATAATTTTCAAGGACTTTTTTTTTATTTTTTTTAATTTTTATTTTATTTTAATTTTTTAAAATTTTAAATGCAGCCATTCTGGAGAGTCTGGAACACTGCAGGAAGTGATGGACGAGGCATTGTTGGTACGAATTCTTAACTCAACTGTTGTATAGAGAAATAGAGCTGTCCTGGAACAGATGTTTTGATGGTCTCCCTCTCAATCACTATTTCGAAGGAAAAATCAACGTAAGATCCATATTGTTTACAGGAGTGCTTGAAGCCAATTTTGTAGAGCCGGCTCATGACAAACAATCTTTTGAGCGCACTGCTGTATTATCTCGTCTAGAGTTGCGATTATTGCAGATGCAAAAATTATACTGGTATGTTTTCTCACTTTCATCTTTCTATCTCTGACGCTTCCAAGATTGGGTATTCTCGGCTGGTGTACAAGGTAATGGACTAATACGTTCGGGGTTTTTCATTTTAAATCCTCGGCAGGGCTAACAACTGCCATCTTGTTGGATACGTCAACAAAAAGTTGAACCGGAGAAATAGTAGGCAAGTTGCCTCCGAAGCAGGTGAACCCCAATTCATCTTGGTTCAACTGCGTTTCTGCTGAAAATGTGAACTAGCAATGAAGACTGATAACATCCCTTCACTTAAAAGTATATGAAGTATATTCAGGCGTTTAAACGGTGTGATTGCGACACAGTACTCACAAGAAAAGGTGAAAAACATGCAGAATTCCGTACTAGTGTTGTCCAAGTCGAAGGCCATCCGTATGGAAATCTTGATACTCTGTTAGAAGGACCACGGTCATCAACACCTGGATTTCCACTTAACATGCCCGTTAACATGCCCAGAGTGGATGTTGCCAGTCCTCCGATTGACATGGGTTTCCACCTTGTCTACCGCAATCGGTCATCGTCAAAACCAGGTCCTCCAGGTCTAGACTTAAGCTACGAAGTTGACCGGAGTGGGTCAGGTACACCTGAAGTATCCACACCTTATAAGGTAACAAAAATGCTACACTTCAATGTGTTACTTCCACTTCCCCTCTTGTAATCGGTGCACTCATCAAGTTAAAAGTATTGATACTTCTAATGCCAACACATCATACGTCCACCGTTCTTTTGTTGTGGATCTCTGCATATAAATGTGTTGGATTGATTAAATTGAGTTGTCTGTTCAGAATTTCATTTGGCAGGCATCAGAATCTGAGTCACGGGAATCTCCTGGTGATGGCAGAGGTCGGGAGGATCTTGTGAGCGGATTTGAAACAGTATGCCAACCATACCCGACCTTCAAGCACTAAGTAACATTACTGGAAGGCAGCTAGTGTATCCTAATCCAAATACCAGCTTATCTACCTTAGCCTGTTGTGTATTGATTAGATCCTCAGTTTCTGTAACGGCAGTTGTAATTCGGAAATTGACCGTCTTGAGGGTCCTCCAGCTGCAGATGGTGAGGAGAGGAGCCGCAGATCCAGCGACTTTACATGGGCTTCTTACCAATGTGAACGGCCAAGGCCAACCCTTTGATATGGAAATCACCAGAGAGCTTGAAGAGAACAAGCAGCTCCGTGATAGGTGACTACTATTACAGTTTTTGTCGTTAAAAGCAGAGTTCAAATACCTCTCCAAAGTTGTTTTCTCTTTGTGTTCCATATCTACTTTCAGGGCATTGTAATCCGATTTTAATCATGCACAGGGTACGAAAGCTGGAGCAGGCCGAAGAGAGAAGCTTGCATATCGAGATTGATAGAAATCGCAAACTGGAAGCACAGGTAAATATCTGTTCTAGATATCTCTCACGAAACTCAAATATTTTAGCACCATGGTATTGGTGAAGTTTACTCTTTTGAGCACCCTGACCAGCATCGTCTCTCACTAGTAATTATCAGATGTGCTGGTACCGATACCTAATGTTGTTTTATTAAGCGGTAATCTGGTTCTATTCGGGTAGGGCAGCTCCTGGATATGGAACAACAAGAAGCAGTTGATCGGCGTTGCTTAGAACAGTACACTCGAGAACGGGACAATCTTCGAGCTGCTCTCGCGGAAGAGCGGCGCTTGCACGAACATGATGATGAAGATATGCGGAAAAACTTGAAGGTGAATGTTTTTCTAAACTGAAGCTCGATTCCATCACTTCAGAAATCTCTGGATGAGTTTGACGATTATTTCATTATTTAATCCCTCTATTCCTGGAGATTTCGGGCATCTTGTGGATTATCTGGTAATGTTGGAATCCGACGAAATGTAAGCTATTGGGTTTTAACCATTCTGAGAGGCAATGCAAAGAATTTCAACTTTAAATCTAATTCAGGAAGATGTAAGGAACTGTAGTATTCGCAAGTGAAGAAAAGAATTTGTAAGTGCGAAGGTATGAGTCAAGTTTGTGTGTTGATTTGTAGCTATCCTTCGAAAATAGAGCCGGGCGGAACAGCATTGTATTAAATAGTGATATCTTAGAGAAGAGGATGTGTGTTTTATGTGTTGAAGGTTTCTCTATTGCGGGCTCGAGAACTTGAAGCTGAAAACAATCGGTTGCGGCTGCTACATAGCTGAACTGCCGACGCTCTGATGAACAGTGTCCTCCACTCCTGTATAATACTGTTCTTTCATAACATAGACGTAGCATTGAGCAGGATTAACACATTTGCAGGAGATGTCTTCTGAAAATAGACTGCTTAAATTCCAGGTGATACATCTCTATGTTTTTTATCTATTGAACCCTGATCAGCTACAAGAATACTATTCAGATACTTAAACCGCTCATAATTTTCACTTGTTCCATCATTAAGTGCTGAAGGAGGTGTGTTCTGTCAACGAGTTTAAAATGTATATGCATCTGACGTCGCCTGGACAAGTATGCTGCAAAAGTAGCTTTAGCGACGCGTGAAAATGATACGCTGTCGTCTGTTGTAGATAGGAGTATTTTCATGCCAGCTTCTCCGAAGATATATTGAGCGTAAGAGAGACGTAAGGATGACTCTCAATACCATCTCCCGCAAGACTTGCTACAGACGGATCTTCTTCTGTTGCCCAAAATTTTCCACTCCCACTGTCGTTCCATGTCCCTCAGTATAGTTAGACAATTTTTATAATTCATGAGACAATGCACTTGAGAATGAGGAAATTATTTGAGAAAAATATTTGTTGCAATCTGTCCACATTTTGACATGAAAACTATGGTTGACTGTTACCCACCTCATAGTCCCGCCTGAAAAATGTTCCAGCATGCGGCAAACCTTGCTTTCATTTTTTTGCCTTGGTGCCAATACAACTGCCTGTATGGTTTACACTACGATTAAAACGGGCAGGCCGCTTTTGAACGATATACACTTCATTCAACTTTCAATGATCAAGCACGGCTACATGGTAGCAAAGACGGGATAACATGATAACCTCGACAACATTTACAAAGCGAAGATTAACTTCCACAGGCATAGTCTGGGAACTGCAATGGCGACTCTTAATCACTTCTCAAGGTACGTAATGTTGATACTACTTCCAATTACTTGAAATTCTAAGGATATCTAAATTCGGATGGAGATGTGAAATTTCTCACTAGGAAAGCTGGTGGAAGACCGTAACGAAGTACGCTTTCAACGAAGATGCGAATTGCACACAGATGCACCCATGCACTGAACACCTACATCATGAAAATGTTCAATCACGAAGTGTGATTTAAAACGACCTTGTAACGGTCTTGTGGTAGAGCCCAACTTGTTTGTATGAGCGGTACGTTACTGTCAATCAACGCACGAAAATCCACACCGAATTGCTTGAAACATGAAATCATTAACTGTAATATATGAAAGTCACTAATATTATTTGGGTCCAATTTATGACAAACATGATATGTGATGAGGTGAGAAAATTTCTCATGGGTGAAGTGAAAATACATTTAGAGACTTGGACCCACAAAGCTCGCGATACAAACCTCTCCGAAGGTTGCGTAACACCAGTGAAGTAAGGCATGTCGTTTCTTTCCATGTTCCTCCTGCCAGTGCTCCAACTCCGCCCGGTAGGCAAAGTGCCCTCCATTAGGGTCACGGGTTAATGTCCGGACCTGGATTCACAGAGAGTTGTGATCGTAATTAAGGATGGTCAGCATATGTTCCATTGATTAGCCCTAAAACCCGCATTAAGAAGTCTCTGCTCCATATTGCAGGTCTTGTCCTTATTAGTATTTACTTCTTTAGAAGCAAATCTTAATAAGGACAAGACCTGCAATACATTGCAGTACACACTGTAGTACACAGTTCGTGATACGAGATTGGTGCTACATATCGGACAGATTCACCAATAGGAGGAATTCTAGTGTCTGATTTACTATATCAGGAGTGCTTGACTGGATGATTTCTAGCTTTACTCAAGTTTCGATAATTTACATTAACTGCAAATCTTTCAACCATTGGAGTAGAATGTAGACCTGGAAGTTTTTTAGACCAGCAGCGTTCGTGAAACTTTCCACAACATGACGAAAAACTATGACGGTGTAGATTAAATAATCAGTGTCTTCATGTAAGTTCTTTGCAGACCTTGGGACCTATTTTGGAAATACCAGGCAAGTTGTCATTAAGATACATGGGAATCTCAACAGGCACAAGAACACAAATCGAAGAGGTTTCAGAGATCTTTCCGTAGCTGCGAACATCTTAAATGCAGTAATAGTCCTAATGTGGAAGGGTACACGACACTGGGAAATTGAAATCTTGATCCAAATTACTCTTAAGCTTTTTGGATCTGCTTCACAACTTGGACTAATTGCTACAGGAACTGATTGGTAGCAAGTTTGGGCTGCAGATGTATTTACCACATAGTCACAGAGCTTTTCGTAATTAAGCATCCATTCTTGTTGTGCAGCCTTTGGGACAACTACTGCAAGAGTTGTCATGTGCTCAGTGTTGATAATATCTTCGTCCCTCACCAATGTTGTGAGATCCCGCCCAGAAAGGCTGTGGTTTATGGTAAAGGCTTTTAGTTCAACAACCCTCTTCCACATTCTTTTACTGCAAAAATTAGTAGTGTTCACTGCTCATCATATCTTTAGCCCTCATTAACATATTCAATTCCAGTATCGGGAGGATAAGGTTTCTCCAGGAAATTGCCAAATCAAGGCCTCGTGAAGAATTAGTTTGAGCTACACAGATGAAACCCCAACTCTGCTGTTGCTTCTAGTCTCACACAGTAGCGTTTCCTTCACCTGCCCATCTGCTTGCGTAGAGTGGTTCCCAGTTGTGACTTGACAGCTGAATACTCACTCGCTCTGACCTAGAGATAGTAAAACATATCAACTGCTATGAGAGGAAAGGATCGGAACACAATTCATGTTATCACTCTCAAGAGGAAATGATTATCAGGAACAGAAGCTCAAATCAGCGGACTTCTAGCATCCATCGAACTCAATATGAATTCGAAAGATGCTTAATACATTCGCCTAAAACAGTGGAGACACCTATCAACTGGGAAATTTCATAATCTTGCACCCAGTGATTACGGTACCTTGAGATCTTCGTCAAGCTTAGACACAGCCCCTTGAATAATAGCAGTTGTGTCCTTCAGTGGAGTCTCCGTGGGGTACTTTGCCAAATTCCAGCCGAATCTGAAACAGATTTCTGAAACTGGTTTAACTGAAATACTTTCAGCCTCTGAAGAAAACCATCAACCTACAGGTGAGATTGAACAAGGGACATATTAATTAGTTACCGAGTAACGAAGATTTCAACTGGAACTCCATGTACTGAAAGGGAGGTCGACACAGAGCTCGTCGTCTTTTCCAAGTCTTCAATCTGTCTTCTCACTTTCATAGCAACGGACTCGACGAAGCTACCAAACTATACATATCCCACAATTAGAGGCAAGTATTCTGACTAATAGTTGCCAGGTTGCGCAATTAATTAAGACAGTAAAACACTCCCTTCTTACTAAAACTCTTAAGTAGATTAAGAACTGAGGCAACTGTTAACGATTTGACAATTCCATCATTGACAGATTTCTGACAACACCATCAGCAATATTATTTATAAAAGACTGGCGTGATCCGTCAATTTATGATTTCGACCACTGCAACAGTGGGTACATGATTGGACTTGAGGCTTCAAATTATAAGAGAAGACTTGACGATTTCAAAGTGGGAATTCGGAACCTTCGCAAGCTCGTCGCCGAGCGTCAATAAGGAGTTCAACGTTCCAACTCGCAAGTTAGGAATCTGAAACTGATGTGCATGCAAACAGAATGTAGGCACTTTTAGAAAATAAAACTATCTTCCTTACGAAGTAGCCTCAGCATAAGACACCACGCACGCGATTTTTGCAGATCTGGGAAGTCACAAGCGTGACTTCCTGAATGAAAAAAGAAGAGGACACTGATCCTGAAATAGTTTAAGGTTTTGGGACGTGAGAATGCGATTCAAAACACCAGAATCCAACAACTTAATAAAATCAGTTCTGTAGTGTGAATATTTCTTAGCGGTTCCACAGAGATTGATGGAAACCCCAAAAGAGACAGGAAGTCACCATGTCCAACACCGTAGATTCATTTTAGAACCATGCACACTAACGACACTGCCCTAATGTGTTGGTTGGTTTGTGGACATTCCTTCTTCAAAAGGTGCCTTGAGACGGCATTTATGCTTTATCTCGAAACGCATGTATGAAAAGCAAAACAGAAAGATACAATAATCACATTTGCGACAGCATGATGCAAATAATATTTCTTCAAAGTAAAATTCCATCAGGCTCAAGTTGAAACGTCAAGAAAAGCAAATGACGTCCAAGGCTAGCAAGGTCTTGCCTATCAATAAAAACTTACCCTATAAGTTGGTGTATCAAATGACACCTCGGAAATCCGTTGTTGGAGGGATGCCCATGTTGCAGCTACTGTGCCACAAAGGGGTAACGAGACCAAAATCAACCGGGTCATGTTCGAAGGCACCAACTTCTCTTCCTTGCTGCCTACAGATTCCAGTTGTCCTTTTATGGATGCAGAATGCAAGTGTAATAAATGAAATAAAAACAAAAACGCAATGAGAGAAGAGTATTATGAGGCCTACTCTCTGAGCATGTCCTGCATACAAACGTCATTCATCAACATGAAACCACAATTTATTCGACAAGGAACACCACGACTCACAACCAAGTGATGCGGCTGCGCTCGGTATCCCACCCCCCGCTCTCAGAAGTCAGGCAGAAGTTGCGCTCATGGAGACAGACTGGTATATCTTGTGAAGATTCAGAGTTGCATTGATGGATACCCAGTATTAGAGAAGTCGAGTTAACTGTAGGATTAGGGCTCCGGGTGAGAAAGAAACAGTCACGCCCTGTTTTGTAGAATTATTCTACACCTCGCAGCAAGACCAGTGTCCTGGTAGCACAAGTTTTAAGTCAAATTCGAACGACCTACTAGTTGGAGGTAGAGTAGAGACACTTAGAAATGGTTAACAAATCTAAGGTATGCTCACTCTTTATTGTGGACAATCGATTAGGATTCCATCAATGCGATGAAACGGCGTATTCAGACAGAAGCAGCTGACTGTAGGCTACCAGGTAACACCACTGAAGAGTTGTGTCAGGCTTCGAATTTGTTCGACTTAATTTAGCTTTTAAGACGAATTATAAAAGGAAACCTACTAACAGTAATGACCTCATACCTTACTGTAGCGAATGCGCATGTTTCACCAGACAGAAACGCATATATAAGTCCATCACTCAGTGTCGTAGAAGTATATCGAACTATTATTGTCTAAAACTGACCTACAACTCTTTTTCAGCTGAAAACATAGATAAGCAAATGCATGTTGTCAAAGAACCACCCAAGAACGAGGTAAAGAAAGTGGACTTTTAAGTTGCAATATACAAACCATATCAAACCATTCAATGTGATATGATACGCCTATGAACTAAAACAACTTCGTGTTAAAGAATAAAAAGTAAATCCAGTTAGGATTTAAACTTAGCAGAGAGATTGACAAACTAACTCCAAAACCTCACTACTAATTCAAAATCTATTCTGCTGTGCTGTAATAACTACAAGACCTTAATCAAAGGCTACTCGAACTGATTGGATTAAAAGAAGTTCTGCTATTTTGTCGAACCCACCAACCCACAGTCACAGCTACGGCCAAAGATGCTAGAGCAATCACCAACGAGACTGCGCTGAGTGCACTCTCAGATTTGGTAGAGCTTGCCAAGCTCGATGCTCCGGAAACAATTTCGAGTTGCAACCAATCACAACTTGCTGAATAGTGCTGATAGGGTTGCCAAGCATTATCGGCAACAGGGAACCAAAAGGCAGCTGCCATGCCATGTGTTGAACCAATGGTAAACTGAGCGTCCTGGTTCAATTAAAGACCAGGCGAACAAATGATGAATGTAATTTTTTATGAAGAAAGAAATTACTGACCAGAATCAAGGGAATATATGTAAATATTGCTAAGCATGATTACATATAAGTTTCTTGTTGGCCAAAATAAGCCTCAAGGGTAAACGAAGGTAAAGCAAGCAAGGGAAGCCATAAACCTGCTGAAGAACATCATTCGTACGCAGTGGTCTTGCAAATTCAAATGTGTACGTCCCGGCACCGTTGAGAGTTCCGTATGGACTGTCGGCGGCGACGAGACCTCCAAAAAACAAGTAGCAATGCTCAGGGTGAAATAACAGGCGAAAGACAGCTGATAAATATATATGACACCGAATAAGGTACATGGCATTTCGTAGATCACGAAGAACTTTAGAGCTCTGTTCTCAAGCTCATAAAAATCATATTGGAAATGACATACCATATTTGGTATCTGTGGTGTCATGGGTCCAAGATCCACGCCAGTTGTTTTGACCACCACCAGTTACTATTCCTGCAGATGACAGTCAAGTTATCAAGATCTGTAAATATCCTGTGAGATGCCGTAAACAAGATAACCGAACACAAGAATCTCAAGCCGCCTTTGTGTTTTAGAGTTTTTCTTTCATTAAACCACTGTGAAGGATAACCAACTGAAAATCAGCGCAGTCGACGACAAACTAGCAAAGTCAGTCTTTTGCGAGTAAGGCGAGTCTCCAGTCTAGTTCAAGTCCATTCTACATGACTCAAAAAAGATACCAACTAATGGACGATAATAGATGCAGTTCAAGGTAAAAAAGACAATGAACCGCACCAGTAGGTGTCATCCCGTCAAGAGATCGACAATGCGGATTCCAAGCGTAGCCGTCGTCCAACTTGCCAAAGCTGCAACAATTGTTTTAGAAAGAACACAGAAAGCTAGTCATCAAATACTTCAAAAACGCAACGGTCAATCACTCTTGAAAGCACAAACAGCTTCGCTAAAACAAATAGTTCACGAGTATGATCAACGGATCGCACCTATCTCTTCCGGTGCCATTCACGCTGTCAGCAATGTTTTCACCATATAGGCGACCAGGAATGGCCTTGTTTATTTCGAAGTGCACGAGATCCACCTCGTGTCCAAAGCAATTTGTGACATTACAAGCCGTTGGGGCCTCCGGGCACCCACCCATCTACGGATAAGAGCAAGGTCATACCTTAGTGAATCGGTGGAAGTTATCATTGTTAGGTAAATATCCAGAGCTTGCATCCTGTAAGCTGAGATAGTTGAATACACAGAACTATTCACGTCTTGTAAAAGAGTTTGTTGCTCAATTGTAACAAAGAAATAAGCATTTCTTTTCAGACTCACATTATGGTAGGTAGCATCGTCTCCTACCGGGAACATCAGAGCAATTGCTGCCATGTTCTCCTCACTGAAATCAACCAAATTTCAACACAATTAAAGTTCAACGGTGGCGTCATGCGTATCTGCAATCTAGATAATTATTTGGGTAATGGACACAACCACGAGTAGATGATCACCAACGCCAAATGTAATACTTCGGCCCGCAAAATCCAAGAGTAGTGAATTCCTACTTGACGTTGAACTTATAAGCTCCGGGAACTTGAAGGAGGAAAAAAATATCATGCCCATCATGAGCCACCTGCATCAGAATTATGCCAAATCTCAGACTAAAGTTTCTAAAAACCTATAGTCCCCTAAATATTTACATCAACCCGGGTCAGCTATGCCAAGTTAGACAAACACGTTCCTGCTGGACGACTTCACTAACGCTGCGGAGTTAGTGAGTTTGATCTGGAAAGTGTTACAGAAAATCCAGTGAGGCTGTGAGTTCGTGCTTGCTTTGGAAGTTTGGTTTGCATTTCTTTCTTTCATTCTTTCTATGTATTTTTTTCTTTTTGGGCTGTTTTATTTTATTTTATTTTATTTTATTTTATTTTTTCCAATGTGACATCCAAACTGACTAGTTAGATCACGTTGGTCTTACAAAAAAGAAAATCACCAATCCACCTAGAACTAACACAGCTAACGAACCCAGAAAAGAGAACCTCCCAAACAATGAGAAAAGACAGGTGACCACGGAAACTCAAAGAAAACAAAAATAAAACAAAAATAAAAACAAACAAACGTCGTACCTTAATCTGCATGGATCCGTCAGGGTAAGCAGTCTTGGGATCATCAGTCAAGGCGGGATTCAAAGCAAACGAATTCCCCTTCACGGAGCTCCAGTCTCCGGACAATCCGTCCACGGTGATACTCCCGGGCACATACGATGCTTGCAACTTCACACCCACATTGCGCAAACAAGGCGGACCAGTGCTGCCTGTGTCTCCATGGCCCCAAACCTGGAAAAAAAGCCCCGACAACGAAAGCAACACCACTAACAGCACATGAAGTGGAAGAGGGCACACCATAGCCATCTCCATCCCTCACTAGAGTGAACTCTTCTCTCTCCTATCCTCTCCTCTTCTTCCCTTCTCCTCTCTTCTATTCTCTTCCTCACTCTCTCACTCTCACTCTGCCTTTTGCTGCCTGCCTGATTGAGCAGGAAAACGAGGAAGAGGAGAAAAAGGAGGAGACGATGAAGGGCGAGGAGAACTGCTTTGTTGGGAGCTCTTGTTGCCCTTCGGTCTTGGGTGGTCTCTCTCCCACGGTCCCGGCAATAGCCTCCCTATTTCAGTGCCTTTCGCGGAAGCACCTCGTTGAAGTGTGGGGCGTTTCAGTTCCTGGTATCAGTTTCCAGTTATAATAATAGTAAATAAATAAATAAATAAAAACACAACATTTTAGAGAAGCAAGCCTTGTGTGTTGTATGATGTTGCAATCGTCTTGAAGGACTTTTTGATATTCTTAGAATAATGTTTAATTTATTGGGATATACTGTTGTAGTGCATATATATATATATATATATTTATTTATTGGATGTGTTGTGGGAAAACATATATCCTATTTTGAGGAGTAGATGTTGAGTAGAGGATTTATGATCACTATTGGTACCTTTGAGAGTAACAAATTTCATTAAAGAAATTGATCTTTTCTATGTAAATTGTTGATAATTAGAAAATATAAAATAAAATAAAATAAAATAACTTACAAGAACAATGAGGAACCTTAGAACCTTAGAAGTATCAATCACTTTTTTATATCAATAATAATGATAATAAATTTTAAATTATTCATGGTTATAAAATAATAATAACTTCTATTTTTAGAACAATATATTTTTAAACATGTAAAAATTATAAAAAGTCAATATTAATATAGAAACAATTACAAAATACTCTTAAAGTTAATCCAATCATATTAATAAAAGTGTGAGCTTATTTCTAAAAGTAGTAGAAGATACAATACTATTCAATATGTATAAATATATATATATATATATATATATACACACACAAACATATATATATATATAACAAAATGATAAAGTGACCCAAATTTTTACTAAATATGCCTTGTTCCTAGCCCTTCCGCATTCTCAACTCATCCCTTGTTCTCAACTATTGCCCTAATTCCTAACATTCCCAACCCTCCACTCCCCATCTCTAGCAACGGTTGGAAATAGGGAATGGTTGGAAATAGGGATGGGGGCCCAAGGGTGCAATAATGCTCAAGATAGAGTGGGTTGCTTTATTATTCTCCCATATTATGTATATATATATATAATTCCATTAATTATTATCCACATAAAAGTTATGATATATATTAAAAATATGTTGTAAGTTGCAGCTAATGAGAAGTGATAATAATAAAATATGTTAGAATCTTATTTATATTCCATCATAAATAACTTTAATAAATATTCGTACAACTATAAGATTTTTTTTTACAATAAGAAATAAAATAACATTACTTAAAATCTTTTAATTTGGTGGAAATTTGTATACATTTTTAATTAAATGTAAATAATGACAAAACTTTAATATATATATATATATATATATATATATATTTAATGATTAAGCAATATCGGAATTAGATTTTATTTAAAGCAATTAGAACAATAGAATAAATTTTTAATGAAATTAAAATGCTTTATGATTCAAAATACTTTGTCATAAATTTAGGGTGTTATTAATGCCACCACAATTTTTTGCTGCTACCACCACAATCTATCATTTATTTACATTCTACCACAATTTTTACTACTAGTGCCATAACTTATTCTTGTTAACTTTATAATTCTTTTTTAAAAAATCAAACTCAAATCAACTTTCTATGTAATTTGAAAATAAGAAAGAAAACATATCAAAATATATCAACAAAATATTTTATTGGTATCAAAAAACCAAAAAAATGAATTGAGTGGGTGGTGGGTGCAAAAGCAAAAATTGTGGTGGCATTAGCAATACTCTAAATTTAAATAGAAACAAAATAAAACTTGCTATACAATGGCACTGATATATACAATACACAAGTAATACTCTCAATCAAAAGAAACTTAGACTGCATTTTTCAACTCTGATTTCCACCATTGCCTTCTTAAAACTATAATATCCAACCATTTTGCACTTGCTTGAATGTACATCATATTTAATGCACTTTGTGATGGATAGACTTAAAATATTTTTTGGACGCAATTTCAAAGACACAACATAGATATAATTTATGATACAAGGCAGTCAATTTGACGGCATTATCATCAACAATTGTAGCACTTATTATGTCAATTATACGATCTGTTTTTGCATAAATCATATTATTCAGTAATTCAAGGTTGATAACTTTTGCATTTATAGGACATCTAGTAAATAGTTTTCCTCCTGATAAATATAGCAAAAGAAAGGTGATCAAAATACTATACATCAAGAGAGTGATTACAATGAATTTGCAATCTCAAGAGAAGAAGCAGCATGTCTCTCAATTGTAGAACAACTTGAATAGGCATTAAGTTACAATGTGAGCAAAGTGGTTTTCTGTTTCATGACTTTGCCACGGTGTTTCCAGTACGCAACAATCCATCATTGCATCAATCTCCCAGCTCATTCCTTTCTGCAACTTCAGAATCTCAAATCCAGGTCAAGCACAGTTGCAAAACTATTTGTAGAACGATCGTATATTGGGACAACCTGCAAGGAAGACACTTGTACACATTGCCACAATACTTCGAGTTTATCTTTGTTATGAAAAGCCATGTATTAACCAATATAACATTTTCTTTATTTATAAATTTTGAGTGATTTCATCATCAAACAAAAACATGCTTGCAAATTAAAGAAAGAACTATCTTTATTTGATTATTTTTTTCATAATCTTCCACTAAGCTTCCATCACTGAGACTAACCTTACAAGTGTATCGAAGTTTTGCAACTTAAATGTCCAAGAAGGCATTCATGTATATCAATAACAACTGTGTGCAAGGATTCACTACTTAAACACAAGAACCTGTTTGGGTGCGCTCCCATGTTTGCCCATGGCCTTATCAAGTGCATGGTTGAAGTCTTCAAATGGAACCTTCTCAGTTCTGAGTCCCGCCCCATACCACACGTGTTGCAAATTGCTCTCGTTAGCATAGATGAATACCTATAAATCCTCAAACACTTCTCAGATATTTGATATATCATATATTAAAACCATAGAATTTGAAACTTCTCAACTTCAGGCTGTATGAGCTGATATCTTAATCATTCCAACAGTATGACATGTTCCCGGCCAAATTGTACGACAGAGTCTGTGTGTACGAGAAGTTACATATAGCGCAGCTTGTCATCTCGAACAAGCTCAAGAAGGTATTTAGTCATAGCCGCAAAGTCTTCATTAGAATGTTTCGTTTTCCACTTCCCGAGCCAGAATCCTCGTAGTTGAATATCCTGAAAAACGGCCTCAAATGCATCGTTACATAGACAAACCGGACGACTCCAAATTTACCTACATTCAAAAGAACCGTGTCACACATGAAATATATTTACAACAGAGAACAAGTAGCCTCGTTGTAAGATGGGCTCATGGATTACAAATTTTCCCTCGAACATCAAATACTGAAGAATAAGGACCATCTTTCAGAAATAATTATTATATTATTTATTTGGCGATACTGGCAGATATCACGCTGCCTGGTCACAAAACCATCTTCTGATTCTGCAATATGTACAAACACTGTGATATGAAGGTGAGAAGAAAAATAAAATAAAATAATTAATTGAGTTTTAAAAAATATAAAAATTAAATAAAAATAAACCTTGAAAATTAGAGGCCCCGTGGCAAGTTTGATGGGCTTTTTAGACATTCCACCATATGTAACCAAAGTACCCCCTTCTCTGTAAATACACACATAAACAAGGTCGTAAGCACTTCCTATGTTCAATAAAATTTTATCACAAACAATTTCACATTTTATTTTATCATTTACGATAGTCAAGAACGTGATGAGACAGATAATGAGTCAATACTCTTGGACATTTCACATGCAGTGTCTTCCTGACACTCATAGAAGAACAGTGTGATATGCAGGTCTACAGAAGTTCCTCCGAATACACTTGATATGATTGTCAAACCTAATCAATAGATACCCTCACGGAATTACAAGCAGAGAGAATAGCATCGGTAGATGACCGAACAGTTAAATCTTCCAGTTTCTGGTATATTATAGGACTTAGAAATGCAACAAGCCAGCATCGCACGTTTAGTGTCTACATTCCAAAGATTCACAGGGTCGCATGACCACATTACGGTGATAAATTCTGATTTGTGAACTTACCCCAATAGCTTCATGACAGCAGTTGCAGTAGATCCGCCTACACAATTAAGACCAAGTTTTGCTCCTGCCCCTATCTCCTTCTGAACAAGAAAAGGATAAATGAGGAAAGCCAATAAAAATATTGCGAACGCAGGATTCACCAAATAGTTTCAATGGCACATATAACGCACAAAAATCTCACCATTAAATATAAACGAAGACATTCCCAATTTTGTCTAAACCTAACCTGTGACCAAGTCTAAACATAATGGCTAGTATTTAATGTAAAATATAGGTTTACCAAGAAATTTTTCATGTCCAGTTTGCCCAATTCTTCCTCGGTAAACACGTGTTCAGCACCAAGACTTGAGAGTCTTGCTTTCACCTCATCAACACCCGACCTGAAAACAAGAAAGATATAATCAGATCCAGAAAACAGATGTAAAGCAATAACAATTCAGGGGAAACTGATGATCTTCTCGAAGCTTAACAAAACTTCAATAGAGCAGGGAGTGACTAAAGAAAGCATGCAGAAAAAAACATCACAACTCACAAATTAAACTGCCCTTGCTACGAGTATGACTTATCCATTCAAACATACCTATCACGAACGAGATTAACAGTCTGTATTTTACGCAGGTGAGCTAGCTGAATGACACACTGGCCCACCATACTCGTTGCCCCGTTCTGAACAACGACATCCCCTGGCACCGACCGTCCCAGAACCATGTCCCCTCAGGAGCTGCACAGATTTCCAATTTTCTCAATCTAGACCATTGCTTGATTCAGACCAACTATTGAACATCGTGTTTATCCAAGGATTCTGAAAGTTTCTTGAATTGTAAACCTACTTCATCTGCAAAAAGATCTGAAGCACTTATTTGTAATGCTGACCAGCTTCCAGGTCTACGAAGTCCGTCAGCATGCGCAATGCAGTGCAAGGATTAACAGAGATAGTTGCTGCATACTCCAAAGGTACATCTTGACCCACTTTACACCATGCACCCTCCTCCTTCGCTATGTGAGTCGCCCATGTGCCTGTAAGCACGAAACGTTACAATGTGATAAATGATTGTTCGTGGAATATCATCAAAGTGAGGATTCATCTGGTGTGTCAATCCACCTTAGGAGTGGAGACTAACCCAGGTGAGGATGAGAGGGAATGACCCAATCGTCAATCGTCAGGTTCCGCACTCCAGGCGTTACAGCCACGACAACTCCGACACCTTCAGTACCTCCCACTGCTGGAACTGTAGGCCTCATCGGATAGGTCCCTGTGATTCTAAATCACACGATCAGTCGACTGCAGCAACTTGAAGGCATGCAACACTAGACATACAGTCATTCTGATGCATGCTTCAGGAATAGATACCCAAGAAAAAGGAGCAAAATTGAACGTCGTCACTGGTTTGAACTTAAGAAAGCAAAGACCAGACCTTCAAATTTCAATTAGGAAGAAGTTGTGATGAAGATCTGCAACTAGGAAAATGGGCAGTAACAGATAGCAAAACAATCTCAAATATACTGGTAACAGTTTGAAATTGACCATGACTGCGGCAAGATCTCCGACATTCATCAAACTGCTACCTTCGATTCGGTTGATGTCAGATGGATTGATTGGGGCAGCCAGCATCTTAACACACACTTCTCCATCTTCTAATTCACGACCATCCATTTGAACCAACCTGCATCCATCAAAAGTGTAAGCTCACATCAGTCCTTTCCCTCGTAGTCATACTTCGTCTTCAAGTCATTCACAGATTAGATAACCCCTCACAAGAAGACATAGATAGCTTTGAATGAGGTTGTGCATATTCTCATCGAGGACTCCATTAAATTGCACAAAGAGAGAGGCTCTCATCTCCTCGCATGCCACTGAAACATTATGACAATCCAGTTGAGTTGACTGTATGAACGAAATTGATGTTCATAGTTGTTCTAATACTAGCTAGTTGCAATCGCTACGCCAATTCGGCATTACTGGCCCAGTGATTGCAAGCCTCGAAACACGGAATGAGCTGCCTAAATTGATTCAAATGCGAGAGGAACATTCACAAATACATAATAAAAATGCAAAAAAGAAGATGACGAAGCCGAAGAGTCCCTTTTCTTTCTTTTTTTGGGGGTTGGGGGTTTGGAAGGACGCCATGACCTTCATGCTCGAAACGATGTTCAAGACTAAAATAAACCGCAAACCAACATGAAAGAAATTGGATGAGGATGCAGAAACGGGGATCAACCTGAGGACCTGATCGGGAGAGCCTAGGGTTTCATACACAGCAGCAGTAGCAGGTGGGCACACAATCGAAGAAGAAGCAACGACCCCACTGTGGAGCAGCTGCATCGGCTGCACCCGATGCAAAGAATCAATGGACGTTCGTCTACTAACCGCGATGCATGTGTGAGATAGCCATCGCGCTTGACGCAGAGTCGCCATTGCCATCGTCCAAGCCCAGCAACTGACCCACAATTGCAACTCGCAACTACTTCACAGATCAACACTGATTTCTCAACTGACCCACAAATCTAATAAGAGTTCATGCACAAATCCGGAAAAAGGGTTTACAAGTCCAAGCAAATTGGTTCATGAAATCCGAATATCACGATTTGAATTCTCAAGAGCGGGAACGTGGGAGAACGAGAGAACGTCGTCGTTTTAACTTTTTCGCAAACCCTAATCTCCGAAATTGCAGTGTTCTGCTCAGAATCAAGGTCGAGTGACGAGCACGGTTGGTCCTGCTTATTAAGCTGCTTCTGAAGCTGTAGTAGTTGTGCAGTTTGATCACAGGTAGGGGTTCTGTTGCGATATTTTGTTATTATCGTCTTCAGGGGATTGTGTCTTTGCGGGGAAGTTGAAGCTTAGGGAAGATGAGTGCTCCAAGAGCGGCGCAGTTGTTGCAAAGCCTGGCGGGAGCTGCGATTGCATTTGGAGTAGGTGGAAGTGCGCTGAATGCGTCCCTATATACTGTAGATGGTGGGCATCGGGCGGTTTTGTTTGACAGGTTTCGGGGAGTGTTGGACGAGACTGCTGGCGAAGGGACGCATTTCTTAATCCCGGTATTACAGAAGCCTTATATCTTTGATATTCGCACGCGACCACGATCGATCACGTCTGTGACGGGAACGAAGGACTTGCAAATGGTTAACCTGACGCTGCGAGTGTTGTCCAGGCCAGATTCTGGGGAGCTTCCGACCATCTTTAAAACATTGGGAACGGATTACGATGACAGGATACTCCCATCAATTGGAAACGAGGTTTTGAAAGCTGTAGTTGCGCAATTCAATGCGGACCAGCTTTTGACTGAAAGACCCTTTGTATCAGCTCTGGTACGAGATGCCCTTCTCAAGAGAGCGAAGGACTTCAATCTCATATTGGACGATGTGGCTATTACTCACTTGTCCTATGGCGCGGAATTTTCACGAGCAGTGGAGCAAAAGCAAGTAGCTCAGCAAGAGGCAGAGCGGTCGAAATTCGTCGTGGCCAAGGCAGATCAGGAACGAAGGGCGGCTATTGTTCGCGCGGAGGGTGAGAGTGAAGCTGCCAAACTCATCTCTGATGCTACTTCTAGCGCGGGAGGAGGCCTAATCGAGCTTCGTAAAATTGAAGCTGCAAGGGAAATTGCTAGCACTCTTGCAAAGAGCCGGAATATCTCCTATCTTCCTGGGGGAAACAATATGCTGTTGGGCATAAATCCATCCATGTGAGGCAGGGCTTGATGAGAAGGTAGGACTCTCAAGAATACTCCTGGTCTCTTTCTCTGGCTGGTGGAGTTGCATTCCGGCTTCTGTGACAAAATAGAACTTTTTTTCTATTCTATTCTTGGATTCTTTTAGATTTCCTAAAATAGAAAACTTATGACTCCAAAGGGTGAACTTTAATACTTAAGATGAAGAACTATCGGGGCCATCCAGTATTGTAGGATTCTTTCTCTCAAGTTCCATAATTGGTGAAGTAATCTATCATCCTTGAAGGCCCCGTATTCGTCAGCCCTTAACATGCTACCCACGATACAGTTCTCAGTGTATATGACGAGGACACATAGAATTCTTTGAGGCATCCTCTTGCCTGGTACCAAGAATGATTTCGTAACATCCTTCCGAATGTCTTGTATGTTTATTTCTGATTGCTAACCCATGTGCTATCCCATGTAATGACCTTGAATCTGAATTTGGTAGCTTTACATTTATCTCATTATTTGTGAAACATGCCCTTTACTTACGCGGTATTTGTCGATTTGAGTGTACTCAACTGATGCTTTGCGTCTCATGATATGGGAGCACAGTAACATATTATTGATCCTAGGATATGCTCCAATGTTGAGGTTGATCTAATTTGGACACAGGTGGGTGGTATTTTGGTTCATGATTACCGTAGAGGTTTTGCATGCATTTATGATTTATAGCATGTTATTGTCGTCAAAATAACCAGTTTAAAAGCAATGGGTTACATACTAGAAATTTGAAACATTTGTAGTGCTCAGTGAAGGGTAAACCAAGATGTTGGTCCAGTCGCCCTTCTCGGATTCCCAACAAGAGTGCATGTAATGTATCCGACTTCAGAGCAAAGTGGGACATGCTTCTATGCTAGACAAATGGGATGAGTGAAACACATTTACTGTGACCATACACTGGAAGAGTATCATAAAACATGAAATGGAGCCACGAGGTCATGGTGTTTGGGTACCACGGCAAGTAATCTGACGCCTTTCGGGAGAGAATAATTTGCTGTGCACCCAATTGAACTGAAATCAATAGCATCTCAAAAACGGTGTTTCATGCGTGATTGCATGTACATTGCTATTGAGCTGGAATTCTGAGCTTTCTTTCTTTCCTTCTTTTTACATCTATATATATATATATATATATATTAGATGCCTTTGATCATTCTTACCCTTCAATGTTTCATCAGTCTGATCTATCGAGATGTGTTGCAATCTTTTAACAATGTACAGTAGTTACATCAGGCGCTTCTTGTAGAATCATTACCTGCCTTTCCATGGTCTTTTATAAAACTCCCTCCTAATTCTTTTATTTTTACTTTGATACATGTGGGGTTAAATTGGTAAAAGAGATTGTAGGACAAGATTTCTTTAGCCTCAACACCAACTGCATGAACCAGAATTTATTTCAATCCATTTTATTTATATTTGGATTTGAAATAAAAAATAAATAAACCAACTTTAATCACATCTGACCTACTCTTAATTCTCATTTGGTACATGCATTATAATTTACCAAAGGGAATTTTAAAGATTTAGTTTTAGGTTATTTTTTGACTAGTTTCTAAAATAGTTTTTGTCATCTAGGATATATTTAGGATATTGCTAATGCTATCATTGTTTTTGCTTTTTCCACCATAACTTGCCACCTATTCAACACATTTCTTTATTCTTTTTTATTCCAACAAAGAAATAGTTGTCTTTTAATATATATATATATATATATATGTTTATAATAGCTTTAATTTTAAGTAAAAAATAATTAAACTTCTTATAAGAACAAGTTGCGGTAGTAGTAGCAAAAACTATGGTGGCATGTCGTAGATAACAAATTGTGGTGGCAATAGTATAAACATGTGGTGGCATTAACCAAACCCTATATTTATACATCTAAGAAACTTAGGATTATTTGCAATCTGATTTTTTTTATTATTATAAAACAAGAAACTACTTATAACAATTGATTATAATAATAAAGTTAGATCAAATGAAATAACCTATAATTGTCATTTAATTTTTTCTCATGGAACATTTGAGTATTTCTTTATGTAAAAATAATCTATGAGTAAGTTTTGTACACTAACGTCTATATGATACACAATACTCTAAACCTTGCTGTTCTCTTTATTGCAAATATTAATTGCTCTTATTATAAAAAAAATTCTATGGACCTCCTAAATCTTGATTTGATTCAAGGCTCTCTCTCTCTCTCTCTCTCTATATATATATATATATATATATAATTTTTAATTGATAAATAAAAAATTATTAGATCCATAGATAATATTGAGGCCATTCTTTCTAATATTTTTTTATTTTAAATAACTTAAAATATTTTAAACAAAAGATTATTGCCTTTAAATTTATGAAATCCAATGAATCTATTAATTTTTGAAAGTTGAACGTTCTTACTTAAAAAATTGAGAAAATAGCCAAATTATAAATAATTGATATAATGCCAAAAAAGATCACTACATACAATAAGAATGATTTTTTTAACCTTCTTTTAATAAATAAATAAATAAATATATATATATATATATATATATATATATATAATTTAAATAAAATTTTGATATTCTTATTCTAATCTTAAAAAATCTACTTTTTTTAAGAAGTGATAAGTTAAAGATTCAACTATATTATTTGCTAATAATCATCATTGAATATTCTTTAAGATTTTAAGTATTGATAATACATTATTTTTTTCCTCTACTTATCTTATTTAGATTTAGATTTAGAATCTAGAATTCTATTTGTGATTAGAAACAAATATCTAAAAAGTACTTGTACTTTGTTCTTTGGTTGATATTAATATTTTTTTTATAATACCACTTATATAAATATTATCTCTACTTTTTTACTATTAATATTTTTTATGTTGATGAAATTTAAATAAATTTACTAGTTGAGTCATATTTTTAAGCAAAAATACCTATAAACATTATAAAGCTTACTGACATGTTAATCATATTAAAAAAGTCATTGCATATGATTTTAAAAACTTGATCATAAATATTATAATATTACTTTGTTTAGACCTAGTATCATGGACATACGCATGTAAGTAAGTAATTACATGTATAAATAGGTAGAAGTAAATAAAAGTAAGTAAAAATAAGTTAATTCTATAATCTTTGCTATAAAAGCTTCCTAGAAGCTTTATAGTGTTTTGACTTTATAGGTGTTTTTAATTGACTTTTTGAATTAGAAATATGGTCAATAAGTTCGTTATGTCCCATACATGGTGTTGGCTTGAAGACCAAGCTAACTATGTGGCCCACACATAGAAAAACTTACCTTATAAGTCAAGGCATGTGTCCTACAAAGTCAACACATATTGGAGGTCCTATAGAACATCGCCATGTAGCCCCTAGTTAGATAGTATATATAGAGACAAGAGTGAAGCCCTCTTCAATCTTGTCAACTCTTTTTTTGCTTCTAGTCTAGTTTCAAGGGTCTCTAGTTTTTTTGGCTTTTGGCAATAGCCATTCTAGTTTCTTTTTTAATATACATATTGAGTAATTTCTATTTTGTCATCTTTCTTTGAGAAAAGTCTCACTTTATTTATTTTTTTTTATCAAGTTCTTGTCCTTGAAAGATTGACAAGAGTACACTTACAATATCAAAGCTTTGTCTAATCTTGATTAAGAAAGGATTACTCTTTTTTCTTGATGAGACATAACTTAAATAGAAGTTACAAATTACCTTCTTCTAAATTCATATTATCTTTAGTATTTTTATTTATTTATTTATTTTTATTTTATTTTATTTTATTTTATTTTCAAGTCCTCTCTTCCATTTGTCTTGAGTGATATTAGAAAACTTTTTTTTTTGAGTGTTATCATGGCAGAACTTGTTGAAATGAAGAGTGCAATGGCACAAATGTAAGAACAATTCTGTGAGTTAATACTTGCGATACATCAACTCAATTTATCACGACAAGTAGCAAAAAGATTGATAGGAAGTGAAGATATAAAAAAGATTGGATTTGCTTCAACATTTGTACCAAATCATGACCCTTCTCCTATGGAAGAATGTCCATCTAGTATTAGAGAACCTAGAATTACCCTACCCGATGTCAAGGACAAGAACTTGATAAAAATAAATAAACAAATAAGATTTTTTTCAAAGAAAGATGATAAAATAGAAATAACTCAATATGTATATTAAAAAAGAAACTAGAATGGCTATTGCCAAAAGCCAAGAAAATTAGAGACCCTTGAAACTAGACTAGAAGCAAGAAAAGAGTTGACAAGATTGAAGAGGGCTTCACTCTTGTCTCTATATAAACTATCTAACTAGGGGCTATGTGGCGATGTTCTATAGGACCTTCAATATGTGTTGACTTTATAAGACACATGCCTTGACTTACAAGGCAAGTTTTTCTACGTGTGAGCTTGTCACGGACACAAAAATACAGACTCGAGATCTAATAAGAAGTTCAACAAGAATTGGCAAAAACTAGATTAATCAGATGAATACAAGAACAACACCAGAGAGGTGAGCTAGAGCTCCAAGAGATGTGTTGTCGAGATTGAAGAACTCTTCAGCCTCGATTCCAATATATACTCCTATTTAGGAAGCTTTTCAAGCAACTTCTACCAACTAGAAAGCTTCTAGAAGGTTCCAGAGACTTGCTTCTAGAAGGTTCTAGAAACTTGTCTCTAGAAGGTTCTAAGGAGTATGTTCCTAACATCACCCCCTTCTTTAGCTTCGAGGTCTCTAAGAAGCAATGTTGTTGATAATCAGTACCAACGCAAGAAAATGAAGATCTGTCGCATAACCTCTGCTATGAACTCCAACTGTTGTTCACGAGGCAAGTGATTCATCGGCCCTTGAAGCCAACGGTAGTGGCCCACTCCTTCAACTTCTGACCAAGCATGAACTTCCGTGTCCTCATTGTGAAATTGTCCTGCAAACACGCCTTCTAGCTGACCATCGTAAGTAGGCTCGGACTCAAATACAATCACCAGTGATCGGTTACTCGGTATCCTCCGTCGTCATCATGGTGTAAGCGATTCTTCATCTCAGGGTTGCCTTCGTGAGCTAATCAGTTGAGATAATCTGATTGGCATAGTATCTATCTCTTGGCTATCCATATCAGAAGACCAAACTATGGCTACTGAAAAATTCTATTTTATCTTGGAAAAAATAACTACATCAACTATGAATTTTGGTGGTGCTCTCTCCCTTTCTTATATTCTTGAGTGAGCAAGCTTCAGAAGGAAGCTATCGTCGAACCGACTTAGGTTTATGAGGATGTTGTTGATGAAACTCCTGTATCTTTTGCGGCGCATTGGTGAGATTTTCAGCTAGCTCCCACGTTTGCTCATTAATGTCGTAGCCACACTAATGAACAAGATACTCCAACTTGTTCCACCTTCATCATGAATCGAGCACCTTTTCAACCTCGTATTCCTCATGGTTCTCGATCTCAATA